GTGAGGGAAGATTGGATCCGCTCGCATATTTTCCTATGCTCTTTTAGTTGAACGTTGAAAGCAAGTAGATGATCATGAACCTACCGCCGTTGCTCATCTGCAGCTCGGCTTTTGATGATCTCTTTGAAATGTCAGACTTTGGCATTACGGCATAGCAGCGTACGCAGCGCAAAAGCTAAGCGATAGTTTACAAGAATGCTGGGTTGTGAACAAAACTTTCGCCCCAGGCGGGACTAGAACCCGCACCTCTCGCTTTCCGGGCAAGTGCGCTACCAGTTACGCTACCGGGGCACCATTTCATTCCAACTCAGCTTTTCATGGTATACGTACCATAGCTTTCAGCACTCACACGTATAACGTGTTGAGCCGGTTAGTTTAGTTAGTTCTAAGCGATGATAACCCTAGCTACTAGGCCCCTTATGGTTAGTGTCGTCGACGATAACCCACGACTGCAACCTATGTGGCAAGGAGATTTCTCTTGTTGTTGAGGGCCACGAACACGGAAATACGGCACATGACGCCATTAGACGCCACAACTTCTCTCAAACCGAGTTCATTAGAAACATGTGCATGAATCATATTCCATCATCTCCAATCTAATGGCTTATGCGACATTAGCCTTTAACCCGGCGGGGTACCCCCAGGAGGCCCGTCGCGCGGCAAGAAGGCGAGTCAGCGGACGAGTTGCGCGCGTACTGTAGGGATTTCGCGTCAAGTTAAATAGAATGTCCCATTGCACGTCCTACATCGCACATCACGCGCTGCGAACTCGTCCGCGACTCTGCCTTCTTGCCGCGCGACGGGCCTCCTGGGGGTACCCGGCGCCATATTCGTAGTCAAGTTTCTGACAGTGTTCGTGAATTAGCGCCTAAAAAGCTAGCATCAAGAGGGTGTTGGACCACTTCTCAAGACTACACCACTTCTTCGAACGAGGGTGAGAATCTCAGTCTTAATGAAATCGTGTCAGTTTGGCTCCTGAACACGAATGTTGCACTCGTTTGACGCGAGAACACCTGGTGCCTGCGTTACAGGCGCAAATTCTTAAGCGAGGGATTACGATAAGTTTGGACTGGGTTCATAGTGGAAGTGGAGATGCTGAATAATGCCCCAGTGGCGAAAAAAGCAAAGAAATCCGTCAAGAAGGCGCAAAATGGGACCCCTTTCTTTGCCCGTTGACCTCCGATAATGGACGAGCTAGCAACCAATTAGGAGGTCGTTTGCACATGTTATGCTGATAGCCTCTATCATTTCAGCAAGCATCATGCTTTGATTGATCACGCATCCCATGAAAAGTTATAGGATACACTCTGGAAGTGGAATATCTCGTCACATTGGCAATCGAAGGGCGCTGCTGCTGGGGGCGGAGCACAGACCGTGGCGGGGCTCAGAAAGGAATGGCAAGCCTTGTACGCTGCAACTAGCGCACCTTTGACCACAAAAACGCAACATTTCGTTTCCTTGGGCCCCTGACTACTGCTTCCAATGGTGCATGTACTTCCACGCTGCATACGCACTTTATCGTAATCTCTCGCTTTAAGTCTTCCGATGGCACACATACGCAAGATTCTTGAAGAGTGCAAAATGTGAATGTTTTCATGCAAAACAACCATAAGATTCGTTCCCATGACACCTTTTAATCACGAATTTCTGGCAGAACTGATGGTGTAATGTATCTGCTGTGCCAACGAAACTAGTGACCAGAAGATCTATGTCTGAATCATCCAAACCGGTTTCTTTTCTCGCAGATAGCCATTCTCGGCAGGATCAGATTCCCTAACCATGCGAAGGTGGTTTTAAATGTAGAGAGAAAAAATGCAAAAAAGACAGCACTCGGATCCAAACATTTAACCTCGCAGAATCAGGGCCGGCATAGTAACCAGTAGGTCACTGCGGCACACCCATGCACCAAATGCGTCTCGTATTCGCACCGATCTAAAGTCTGCTCCCTATCCTAACAGCCTGTAAAACTTTGTTCAGGGGATCGTTTATCAGTTATGGAATACAGATTTGAGAAAAGCGTTCGAAGAGGCTCCAGGTAGTACACATTTCATTGCAAACGGCCACTTCAACCTACCATCCTTCCCTTGTAAGCTATTTATAAAGTGTAATACAGCTGATTTTAGATGCTTGAAAATCGAGCCTGGAAAGCGATGGTGATCCCAACCGCCCTGATTGGACGAAGTAAAGTGGGAACAATCTTCGGCCGCGACAAACGTTTTGCTGAACAATGTGACTGCGGTCCACTTGCTGAAGAATGCCCTGTAGGACATGCAGGACCTCCAGGAGCGCCTGGAACACCGGGTGAAGACGGACCCAAAGGTGAACCGGGAAGCCCAGGCGCTCCAGGAATTGCCATATTCGATCCCAAGACCTTGACTGGGTGCATTAGGTGCCCAATTGGAGAACAAGGACCACCTGGGCCTGAGGGACCTCAGGGAGCCGTTGGACCAGATGGGCAATCAGGAACACCAGGAGCGCCCGGAAACAATGGATACCCAGGAATACCAGGACCTCCCGGAGATGCTGGAGAGCCAGGAGACCCAGGATCAACTGGTGAACCAGGAGATCTTGGAGAGAGTGGACAACACGGGCGGGGCGCACCTGGACCACAAGGAGCTATTGGGATTCCCGGCCCACCAGGGCAAATCGGAGCAAGTGGACAACCAGGAGCGATAGGACAGAGTGGTCCTCAAGGATTTCCTGGAATTGCAGGACTTGATGGACCGCCTGGAAAACCCGGACCTCCAGGGCAATCCGGATGGCCCGGCTCGCTTGGAAGCGATGCAGCCTACTGCCCGTGCCCAACTCGCACAGCCGACGTTCACAACGAACCTCACGAATACAATCGTATTCACTCAAAGATCTGAATGAAAATAACCTGCGAAATCTCCAATTTGTACTATATTAATAAATGTTCTTCATCCTCTAGCTTGGGTATACCTTAGTGTGAGAACGCACGGCAAAAGAAAAGGATCTTATACCTATCAGATTCTAACCTTAGGCACAATATCAAGGCGCGGCACCTTTTTTTCAGGTGAAGTACAGTAATGAACTAGTTAACTGATACAAAAACAATAAATGGTGTAATCAGAAATGTTACAGCACCTTTTCTAACGATAGAGGCTTAATTCTTCCTGTCTGCTTACTTAGAATAAATGAGCTATAAGATAAAAAAAAACATCGGGAAAAAAATGAAATTCGAATTAAATTCTAAAATGAACGAAAGTGACGGCTTCCTCTTTCCAAACTGCTTAGATCGGCTAGAATACTGGATGCAACAGGTGTTGAAAGAAAAAGAGCTACGCTCAGTCGCCGCCACGTTTTTAACCTCCGCTTATGTTCGTAAATTGCCTGGAGAAATATTCGCCGTCTACGGACAAAGCTGAGTTCCGCTGATATCTCTATGAAAAAAGGCTTATCGCATGCATCAATTGCCAGTCCACACCCACAATGATAGAATATTTAAAGAGAACAGTGTTCCTGTGACAGCAGCTCAGCAAAGATGAATACTCGATTCTCAGTGACACTGGCGCTCGGTGCTCTCCGCAGTTGTCATGGTATTGTCTGCTCATTCTTGTTGGAGTACTTTGGTTCGAGACAATCTACTGCCCTATTTACTATACTGTCATGGATGATAATTGCGCACGATTTAAAGTAAGATTTTCTTATTTTATAGAATGATGAAAAAGACGGAAGCAAATGTGAGGAGAGATATCATTTGAATAATCACTGCTCGCAAGCGATAACGTGTCATCTATTACCGTGACCGTAAAAGAAAACGAAACGCACGCCATCTTCTAGAACAACACATCTACAAAATCTCCAACATAGAAAATAAAATATGATGCCCCATACCCGCCAATTACACCATCTGCTTCTGTCGTTCAGTGACAATATGAAGACTCCTAGACTCTATCACACCACTTCTTATTTGCATTCAACGCTTAACGACCGCCGATTACGCAAGCGTTTTCCCGGGCCTAAAGACCATGCGTCACACAGAGCAATTACTTGGCCGCCAAGGAAGAGATGTGGCCCTCCCACGGCGGAAGGTGCTGTGGTTGCTGAGCAGGACCCGTGCGACGCCCCGCCCTATGCGACGTGACGCCCACTAGTTTTGTTGATGATCTGGATGGACTGTTTGCTGTTGGCTTTTCATTTTGGATGATCATTTCCCTTCTAGCGGCTGTATCTTCCAACTTGCCCACGTATTGCCTTATCAATCAGTACACTATGCTTGTTGGCATGATGGCGGCTATCGGGGTTAACACGTCTGAACAACGTCGTTCTTCACCGTCGCTCATCGGTGGTCGAAAATGAAAGGGCAATCAAAAGGTGTTATTCTGCTTATTTTTGACGGATTTCTTTGCTTTTTTCGCCATTGGTGTATTACTGAGACCCTCACGTCCACTCCAAACCCCTGTGAAATCTATCGTAATCGCTTCCTTTAAATATCTTTATTTATTACCAGTTTAGCTCCGCACGCAACCGCGCGCATCAAATGGCGGGCTTCAGTGAAACTGGACAACTTGCAGAATATTAGGTCACGTAACTGAGAAACTAACAGTAAATGTTTTGGAAGATGTGTCCCATGAAGTTCAAAGGTTGTCCAATTTCGCTGGAGGTTGTCGCGTAATGCGCGCAGTAGCACGCGGAATGGAAATGTTACTTATCATGACTTCGAAACATTTAAGCCATGATGGAAATTGGAAATATGATTTTATTCGCTATTAGTCCAGGTCCAGATAGTTGAGCAGCTCAACTTTCTTTGCTTCTTTGGATGAAAGGATAGGAATGGAACATATTCACTTGCTAGGGGCCTGGTTTAGTTTAAAGACGAATTCACGATGAAAAAGCAACCCATTTCAAATTAACCTAGGGATGGTGAGTGGTACACGAAAGAAGGAAGAACCATGAGAAACGGCCCAGAACCCGAGAAATGGTACCCTTCCTTGCCCGTTGATTCGAGCATTGATGCGACTCTCATCGCTGTGCCCTCTTCAACACTACGCTCTCTCAGCTATCTAATCACTCTCCACGTATTGAACTACGGCGAGTGATCAGATGATCGGTGGGCGGAGATCGCCGGACCGCCAGCTTTGAGGCATGATAGGTCGCCGAGGTCAAATTTTTCCATGCGAATTGCGCGTCAGTTCGCACCCTCAGGAGGTCCGTGGGTCCCTCAACTAGGTCAGTTTCCCTTTCTTCGATGCAATCGCTCTGCCAAAAGTGCAAGCGGCGGGCAATGGCCCGCCGCGATCGATACCGATGTCGACTGCATCGATGTGGGCGGGGCCAATCGCCCGTCGCTTGTGCACATTGCAAGAGCGACTGCATCGCGATGTGCACGCGATGCAATCGCAGAGTCTGACCGACATCACATGAACTGTTGGTGGCATCAAATTCACCCAACAGTTGAGTTGCGCGAACAGTCAGCGTCCACAACGCTGTTGTTCACTATCACAAAAGTCGATACCGAATGTCAACGACCCTGCAATGAATGGGAAAGCTTGGCTGGCTGGTAAAGGTTTTATCGAGAATTGGACCCAGAACCGCGACCAGCTAAGTGAGTTCGCTGTCTACAGGTGGCGAAAGGTATAGGACGCGGCTTTGACGCTTGCTGGCACTGAGCCGTGGAGTAGTTTTTAGGAGTGCTTTCGAAACTCTCGAAAGCTTTGAAACTATGTGAGAAGCATATAACGTTGTTTGGTCCGAAGTTCGTCTGAACTCTCACCATGAAGATTTTTTTGCATCGACCCATTACTAAGGGCTGCCCAATAACGGGCTCTGAAAGTGACTTGCCGAAAACCAGCTATTCCCTATTCAACTCTTTGAAACATGTTCGGTGCTCTCAAGGTTCAAGCACACGTCTCTGGGATTGCGAAAAGTGGAAGTTCAAGAACTGTGCACACTCAGAGGATTGGGGCAATCACCTAGAAGAGGATGGCTCACAACGATGAAGCCAGCGTGAGTCACATCGCTTTTGATCTCAGGATCTGCCGTCACTCCTTCCAGAAAATCTTGGGAAGCAGTCATTATTTGAAGAGGTTACCGACTCTTTCTATGCTGGTTTTTATTGGAGCAACCCGAATAGATTCAACTGATAAAATGCAAAAAGTTTCTGCACGAGCTCGAGGCTGCAGGGTCAAGCGTGCGTTGAGGAATCCTCGACATGTCACAGAGGGGGGGTCGTATTGGCCCGCTGGGGAGAGATCGGGCCCGATTGATACAGTAGGATCATCGTCGGAGGACAAACATTAAGGATCGAATCGATACCAGGCCAGAGTATTTCCAATAACAATTGATTCCGTCCACACAAAATCTTCGTGATTTAGAGGTGTCCGCTTAGCAATTCTTAGTGACTTTAGTGTTTCATCACCACACAAGTCAAAGGATCCGAAATTCGCACGTTTTCTAGGGATATTTTATCTTTCAAGTAGGTCCTCAAATCCAACGAGATGTGAAGCACACGGCGCATCCCAGAGTGGGCCCAGTTGGTTGCGCGCGCTTCAGGGGGTGGGTGGGGCGCTGCGCTTAGTACGGCGATCTGTGGGAAACGAATCTAATTCAGGAAGATCAGAAGGGACTGAAAGAGTTCATGTTAAATTACAGAGCAGGAGTAAATTATTCATATCGGTGTTTAATAGATCTCGATGGGTCCTTCAGCGTCAAATTCGCAAAGCATGTAACCTTTAAAGTTGAGACCCGCTAAACAATTTTACACTTTTTGCAGAGAGAAAAGCACGAGGATTTTGAATCTGCTCCTACTTCAGTATGTAATCGCTCCTGCAAGGAGCTATAGTCGTTGGGATAGTGCTAATGTAGCGAAAAAGTACCTTTCGGCGGTACTCGGGCAAAAATCCTCAACGTGGCCATTTTTTAAATAGTGAACGTATTTAGCAGTTTTAGTTGCCTCTATAGAAAGAGCAAATCTTCTAGTTTATGATGACGTATTAACTTTCCAGATTGCATGAGTTTGAACGGAGTTATGGCTTTGGAAAGCGTAAAAACTCGCACTCATCACGAATTTTCCTCGTTAATTTTGCAAAAATCCTCAACGTGGCCATTTTTTGAGTACTGGACGTATGAAGCTGCTTTAGCGACGGTTTGATAGAGAAAATCTTCTAGTTTTGTATGACGTATCAACTTTTTGAATTTGACGGAAATGAAGCAAGTTATTGCTCCGGAAAGTGTAAAAACTCGTGCTCGTCTCGAATTTTCCTCGTTATTTGATCTAAATTTGTTATTTCTTATAACTTCCTGTAATTTCAGTACTGATTAGAAAAAGCTCTTCACAAAACTCCCAAATCAGCTTTCAGATTGAAAATTCGTTAACTTTGAAGAAAGTTATAATCATTTGAATATTTGTTCAAATTTCAATAGTAAATAAGCTGCTCCACGGTCAACGCCAAAGTCCAGTCAACACACAGCTGGCGAAGGCTTTTACAAGGCTTCCTTTGAGCGAAAGGGGACGTGTAAATTGAGAACCATAATCTGTGTAGTACTAGAATTTGGTAAGTCTTGTGGAGGAAATAAACAAAGAAGAGGTGTTGTCCATTTCTAGTGACTAGTTTGACGTTTTTTGCTCCGTTTCTCGTTTGCTCGTTTGACAGGACTCGTCATTAATGATCATTTGAAAGAAGGTTTGTTTCATGGACTTAGCGATTCGGCAGAGGGAGCGGGTTGGGTTGTGGGGTGTGGGTCGTTATTTCTCTCTCTTAATTTTCTCCGACGCCCGCTTTGACCCTGGGTTCGAGTCGTCGCCGGTTTTTTGGTGGGTGGCTTGTCGTCTCCTTACCGGATTGGGTTAATGAGAAAATTTTTCGAACTAAACTTCTTTGCGACCACCAAAGTCAGAGGCAGTTGTTGCCAAAAAGTGAGAGCAAGTCTCCGAGATAACGTCTAGTTTACAACAGACTTTCTCCCGAAGGTGTGGTAGTTTGTGAAGGGGTAACATCCAAAAGTGCAGCTCCATTGGAGTTCATCTTCCACAAATGGTGAAAAATTTTACCGAAAGGGTCTTGCTAAAGGACCGCTAATGAGGTGTTTGGTCTGTATGTTGTTCTAGTAGCGCCATTTTGCTCACTGACCGTTCGCTCTCCAAAGAAGCTGGGCTCCCTAATACGCGTTCAAATCGACCGAGCCATCCTGGGCGCTCACTTCCCGGGCCACTGGAACAAGGAATCGCGACCTTCTTCCTCCTGTTAGTTCCGGCTTTGACCCAATAGACTCCTCTATGTAAGGTTGTTGTAGAGCAAGACCTCAAAAGACTTCTACAGCTCGGTGGGTGCTCTGAAGTTAGCGCTTCAGAAGAGGTGGGACGACATCGCCGTTGGCTACCTGCGGCGCACTGCTGATTTTGTCGTTGGACGTCAGAAGGCCTCTCTCAAAGCAGAGTCGTCAAATTCAAAGCACCTTCTGCACAAGTGATCAAATAGCTTAACTCTATCTTTGTGTGAAGTCGGTTTCCTGATCGAGTCTCTTTCTTGGCTTTTACACACAAAAACATGGCGTCCTATACTTTTCGGCCACCCTGTATATACACCTATGCCCCTCGAATCAGAGTAACTCTACATTTTCATTAAATGTACGATTGCGTACGACTGAGCTCATAATTCATTATCAACTCATCATTTCAGTTTCTCGCGCAACAACAACACTTTAGAAAAATTGGTATGCAGTGATTAATCAGTTTAGAGTAATAACTTCGTATAGCATACATTGAGGATATGCTAGAATGTGTAAAGAAGCCCAACATGAATGAGGAAGCAGAACCACTTATCGCTGACGGACCCACATTTTTGTGGGTTGTTGTTGCCGCGAGAGGGAGTGAAAATCATACAGGTGTAACCGAATTATGAGGCTGAATCGTACAAAGTCGGACAAAACAGATGAAAATGGCGGAAGAGGAGAGGGCAGGCCCTGGGGCGAGGTGAGGCTTTGGGCTCGTCTCGGGGCTGCACGCGAGTGCGCGGTGACGCGGAGCACTTGCGAGCTCTCGCGTGGGAATCGGCACGTCAAAGCCTGTGCAGACAAGCCTTGCGGATAAACTCGTATGATTCTGCGGTTTGAAAAAAAAAAACTTTCGGGGCGCGGAGATTTGGAGCTGCAGTGTCGTTGAAGAGATTTCAGCGCAAGGAAATGAGAGAGGACCTTAATGGTTATGTCACTACTATCATCAGTGTGATTAAGAAACAATTAAAATAGGAGTTTTTGCTGAGATAGTTTTTATTGTCAACTATATATGCTGCCGATCGCGACCTTCATGTTGTCAGGGGGAACATTCAAAACAGGGCCAAGGGTCAACGGCTGAGATAGGTGACACTAGAACTAAGCCCAAAAGCTCCAGCACAAAGCCTAAAGCTGAGCCCTAAGCACAGTAGCTGGCTCATTTCCCCTCTCCCCGCATGGAACGCTCTCCCTCCCTTTACAACGTGAGCGCTCATAATGCGATTATACACTGCGTTTCATAATTATAGGTCCACCCTAAATTTTTGCTACCCCAAAGTTGCTGTGCATTTTTTGGAAATGCTGCTATCACCGTTAGATTCCTCATCACGGAAAACCTTCATAGTGTTTTTCTGACAAAGTTCCCCCTCAAGTAACCCAATTAACTTTTTTAGAACGAATTTTCACCGTTTCATGAATATCGGGCCACTCATAAAAAGTTTCCATTTCTCACGATCCGTGAAGGGAATCAGGGAAGCGGGGAAATATGTGGGCTCAGTCGACATCGAGTTTACCATACCTCGTGTTATTCGCCTCTCTTCCCAGTAACAAGCTCAAGCTAGAGCACTTACTGAAGTGGGATAGCTGAGGAGCAGAATTTCCTCCCATGTCGGCCGGCTCATACTGCATAAGCGACTATGTGCAAAATCCTGGTCAGTGCGGAGAGAAGAGTCGCTTAGGTAAATAAAGACTGCGTTTCCTTCAAAATTTAGGAGGAATTGGGTGTGTTCTTGCTTCTCTCGAATTATACAAGGAGTCCGAACAAAGTCCCTCACTCTGAATGCGGCCTTCCGTGAGCAAAACCACCGTGTGGTGAGTAAGCCAGCAGAGCAATAACATCTTCAACGGATTGATGAAGAGCGTTCCAAGATTATTTGAGCGCTACAAGATCGCAAGTCTCCATTTCTCCGTGGAAAAGGGCTCAACTTAATGAGCGATGGTGGCTGTTAAGACCCTTCGCGATCTTGGACTCTACCTCCTTGTTTCGTTCTACAGGTGGTCTGAGATCGACGTGGAAAAGTTTATTCTAGGTGGATATGGCAGAAAAAGAGGGTACAGGATGATCGCGTGAAAATCGCAGATGGTTTCAATGTAACGTAATTTCGGCGGTGAATCCCTTATGGTTTGAGGCACCTTTGAACGACTGAGTAGCTAGAGCTCGCTTTTGTTTCCGTTCACAAAGATTCCACAGGGTATCGTGAAGTTCTTTCGAAGCGAGTCTTACCATTTTTTCAACAAGGATCCCCTCTATCCTTGATTTTCACACACGATAACGCGGCTGTCCATGCCGGTCCCTCCGCGCCAGATGGAATTGCAGGAAAAAATGTGGCAGTTATCTGGTGGCCACCATGTTATCTGAATTAGATTCCAATAGAGAATCATTGGGCCTTAATTGTTATAAAGTTCCACAGCAAAGTAAAGCAAAATGGAACAGCCGAAAAGCTGAAAAGGTCGATCATCGGCGCCCAGACGAATTTCGATCCTACTGTAATAGCTAATTTGGCTACCAGCATTTCAAAACGTATTATTGTGTTCCTTATGATTTTGGGGGGTCATCCCATATTGAAAATTCGTGACAGACAAGTGATGTGTAGTCATATTTGCGAAACGGTGAAAATACGTTCTAAGGAAGATATTTTAATAATTCTGAATCGAGATTTCTCCAGAAATCAAGTATCAAGGTTTTTCGTTATGGGGAAACTATTGGTAATAGCGGCATTTTCCAAAAATGCACAGCAACTTTGGAATAGCAAAAAATTAGGGTGGACCTATATTTATGAAACGCAGTGTATATAACACCATCCTACTCCGTTCTCATCTTGCCCTACAGATGAGTTTCCGTTTACCATATAGCCGGTCCTCAAAATCTCACGCATTGCAATGTAATTCAAATCGCGGAACCTTGCGAATTTTATCCGCAGTCTGCACACGTTTTGATGTGTTTAATTCCACTGCAAAATCCCGCGAAGCGTCCGGATCGCCGCGCAACTCGCCGCGTGTCAGCCCCGACGAGCCAAAAGTTCGTCGCCCCCTGGGGTCAATGAACTCTCACTCCATTAATTCAGCATCAATGATTTTGACGTTTTTAACCTCCCAGATGGGAGAAAATAACGGGACGAGATAGAGTTTGGGGAAAAGCAAGTGAGACAGCCTATCCGAGAGTCAAACATGTAACGGATCAAATTCCACTCAAGCCACTAAGCGTCTATTTCTCAAGAGTCGGTTTGAGCGTGAACCGGTTTCTGAGAATGATGCAGACTTTTGCACCTGCTGGCCCCTCAATTCACCATGTGGGCCATCCAAATCCACAACGATTCAGTACCGAAGTAGAATGTGTACACATCTAAATAATAGAAGAAAAATTGACCTTGCTGCTCCGCCCCCCAACAGCGCCACCGTGACGTATCCTAACTTTACAGGTGTTCACGTTTTCTACTGTAAAAAAGTTAGAATTTCAGGCTATTGCCAACGAGGCTTGGAAGGACATGATCACAGCCACACAACCCAGCACGATCGCACAGAAAGAATTTTCTACCATGTTCGGCAGAGTAAAGAGGTCAAAGGCTGCCTGCGCTTGTGCTGCCACAAAAAAGGTGTGTCCACCAGGACCGCAGGGGCCACAAGGACTACCTGGACAAGCCGGTGAACCAGGCACATCCAGGAGAACAAGGACATCCTGGAAGAAATGGAATAGAATTCACCAACAAACAATCCGCAAGCGGCTGCATCAAATGTCCAGCAGGGCCTCGCGGACCACCTGGACGCGACGGTTCCGCAGGGAAACCTGGCCCAGATGGACAGTCTGGAAAGCAGGGAATGGCTGGAGACGATGGAGAATCTGGACCTGTCGGACCACAAGGAGATGCAGGGACACCGGGAACTCCTGGTGTCCCTGGACATCCTGGAACTCCGGGGAAAAACAAAAAGCGCGGCCGCGGAACACGAGGACCGCCTGGCATGCCCGGATCTCAGGGTGCTACTGGCCGCCCAGGAAAGAGGGGTGAAGACGCTGCACAAGGAAAGCCTGGTCCGCAAGGTGAGCCAGGTCTTGCTGGCAGGAATGGGCTCGATGGTATGCCTGCTAAGCCTGGTTCCAAAGGCGACTCAGGTCTGCCGGGAGCCGATGCTGCTTACTGCCCATGTCCACCACGTAGTAGTCAAGTCACTCGCACAGTCGATCATCCACCAGGCTACTATTTGCACCTTGCTAGATCTTGAGAATGACGTATAATCGAGTAATAATCCAGCATAAAATCCTTATGCGTGTGTTTCTAACAACAGAAAATGACAATACTAAACTGAGGCTCTAATGTAAATAAACAAGTGAGCCTATAAACTCACGAATTTTCAATCATATTTCCGTCAAATTCTTCCCACGTCTCGCCGACTATTACACTTGTAATCCTTTTCCTCCAGCCTCTTCACTGTCTACCTAGTCTCCAGCCGCTGAAATACTTACAAGTTTCGGGAAAACCTAGCCCACTTCCGCGCCTGCTCCCATTCGCATTTTCCACGTGCTAGAGTGCTATTCGTATGTATTGCTCCATTTTTCCAATTTTCTTCTTCTCTAAGCGAATATAAAATTCATTTAGCAGTCGTTGCTCACGAAGAAGCTCCGCCCACTTTGAATAGGTCTCCCTAATTACGACTTCTACTGGATACGTTAGCCGGTGACCTGTTGTCTCACAATTTGCTTAGTGACGCCAACAACGAGTGTGCAAATCGCCTGCAGATCCTATTTGGTAACATATACAATCCCCATGTAGTCCAGTAACCTCTACCAATGTGATGGGGAGCATACCACAGTCCTAGTATATGTAGAAGAGATGAGTATGTTGAAAGCTTGGAGCCTCACATACAGCACTCAAAACCCGCGTCACTGATCACGATAAAATCTCCATGTGAAAAGTCGTGAAACAAAATCGGCCAATCCTAGCGGGCTCTACCCACACCGCTTCAAAATAAAGTCTAACCTACGTACAAATTCGCTCGTTATGCTCTAAGTGTTGAGAAAACTGAAAACATGTGCATGAAAACACGTCTATAAAAAAGCCATCACTAATAATTGTAAATGGACCACAGAGAACGCATGAGGTCGTGAAACATTTGCCAAGTCTATTGATCAGAACTATTAATTATTACGTGCTGAGTGCATTCGAAGACGAAAAAGAATGGCCACATGTGGAATCAATGTTTCTCAAAGTAAGAAATGTCATCACTGAAAAATAGAGCACTCCAAACCTTGGAGGAAAAAAACAAAGTTTAATACCTTCGGAAAGGTTCAAAATAAGAAAAGAATGATGATGAGAATAGGAAAAGAACTCTGCTCTGAAACCGATCTAGCCAGCAAACTGGTAGCTGTAAGCAGTGCAAAATCCAAAAAAAAAGGCTCCCAGACAATACCTAACCATTTGGGCGCGGCCGCGGCGAACGCGGCCGAGTTGATAGGTGCCCGCGAACTCAGCACAGCACAGTTCGCGGGCACCTCGAGTGCGTTTTCAACGGTTCGCGGGCACATCGACTCGGCCGCGTTCGCCGCGGCCGCGCCCAAATGGTTAGGTATTGTCTGGGAGCCGAAAAACTTCGCTTTTGCCAGTATGTTTTATAATATATGGGTCTAGCTCTCTGAGCTACCTCTACTTAGCAAGACCTCTGATTGATGCCATGAGTTGCTGTCGTCTTAAGTATCATGTGCTCATAAAGAAACGGCCTATAAAGGTCTTAAAAACGGATGAAAGCACAGCCATTCCGAATACAACATCCACAGGTGCTTACAGAAAACCATTTTCAAGGGTAAAGAGGAAACAGGAGAAAGAATAACAAAACTTACATATTGCAGGACTTTTTCGAAGGTCTCGCAGCAGACATCGTTTCTTTTGATGATACAGTAGATCCTTCTGCAGAGCAAACATTGCACCACATCTGCATTTGATTGACTTCTCAGTATGCACCTATAAGGTAACTGGAAACGTCAGGGAAACAACTTCTGTTAGGGCGGAATGCCTGCCTTTTCATTGAAATGAGCGAGATAATACTTACGCGCATATAGTGCTGCTTCAGATTTCGCAAGCCCTCGAATCTTAATTCCCTTTTCCGACATCCTTCAGCAGGACAATGGTATATGTAGGTTCGCGCTGAAAGCATGCACTACTGATAGGAGTCGAAAATGATAGGAGTTGAAACATAGTTTTCCTCAAAAGTAGTGATCACAATGGCAGGTGAGCTGTGCGGATTTAGAATGTCATCAAACGTCATTGGTGAGAAAAGTCTCCAGCGCGATGGTCCTTTTGTTTAGAAGCGCCTTCTAACACGAAAACTCGAAAGACATTCAATGACCTCACTTAAACCGCACCACCCTCAAATCATCGTGATCACTGGCTTGCTTCGAGTTTTCGTGTTAGAAGGCGCTTCTAAACAAAAGGACCATCGCGCTGGAGACTTTTCTCACCAATGACGTTTGATGACATTATAAATCCGCACAGCTCACCTGCCATTGTGATCACTACTTTTGAGGAAAGCTATGTTCCAACTCCTATCATTTTTCGACTCCTATCAGTAGTGCACGCTTTCAGCGCGAACCTACATATACCATTGTCCTGCTGAAGGATGTCGGAAAAGGGAATTAAGATTCGAGGGCTTGCGAAATCTGAAGCAGCACTATATGCGCGTAAGTATTATCTCGCTCATTTTCAATGAAAAGCAGGCATTCCGCCCTAACAGAAGTTGTTCCCTGACGTTTCTCAGTTACCTTATAGGTGCATACTGAGAAGTCAATCAAATGCAGATGTGGTGCAATGTTTGCTCTGCAGAAGGATCTACTATATCATCAAAAGAAACGATGTCTGCTGCGAGACCTTCGAAAAAGTCCTGCAATATGTAAGTTTTGTTATTCTTTCTCCTGTTTCCTCTTTATCCCTTGAAAATGGTTTTCTGTAAGCACCTGTGGATGTTGTATTCGGAATGGCTGTGCTTTCATCCGTTTTTAAAGCGTCTATAGGCCGTTTCTTTTTGAGCACATGATACTTAAGACGACAGCAACTCATGACATCAATCAGAGGTCTCTTGCTAAGTAGAGGTAGCTCAGAGAGATAGACCCATATAAAACATACTGGCAAAAGCGAAGTTTTTTTTTAATTTTGCACTGCTTTACAGCTACCAGTTTGCTGGCTAGATCGGTTTCAGAGCAGAGTCTTTTCCTATTCTCGTCATCATTCTTTTCTTATTTTGAACCTTTCCGAAGGTATTAAACTTTGTTTTTTTCCCTCCAAGTTTGGAGTGCTCTATTTTTTATTGATGACATCTTTTACTTTGGGAAAATTGTGGCCATTCTTTTTTCGTTCGAATGCACATCAGACGAAAAATTAATATTAGGTTGTCCCATAATTAGTGAATCACTTTGGGTATTTTTGAATTCAATTTTTTTCTTTTTTATGTGGAGTCTTTGCTCATCCAAACATACATCTCTGTCATCTACAATGTATTGCCTATACAAGGAAATTTAGTCTGTCTTATCTCTAGAATTCCAGGAGCTATTGATCGAAGAAAGATCGGAAGTCGAGTTTGAGGTCATGTCACTTAGCGTAAAATTTCTTCCTGGAGAAGAGCGCTAGAGGTCAGACTGAGTTGTCTTTTGTTGACACGAGGATAGGGCCACACATAGGAGGTGAAAGAAGTGCTAGCCTGGAAAGTCTCCAATTTTTTATGAATATTCTCCGCAAGGTGGGGTCGAACGACCTCAGGAAAAAAGCAGACTTTGTCTTGTGTCGCGGATGCGACGGTTGCCCGTGGGCGCACCGTGCGCCCCGGCCCATTCGTGCTCGGATGCCAATGCGCAATGCGCCGCGCAATGCGCCCATTGCGCCATTGGCTCCGCCCTACGGTCAGTGCCAGCGGGCAGTCGTCGTGTGCCTTGCGGCGAGCGGTGACCTGCCTTGCCTCGGACGTCCCCTATGTCTACCTAGCTGTCAGGTGAGTGTATGGAATGGCGTTGAGCCACCTAGCAGTTGAGGTGCTAATGTTGAAGTGTCTAATACGTGTCCCAGTGCTGGCATCCAGGGGTTGGTCGGTGTTCACCGGGCAACGCGAGGAGGCCCCGGAAGGCGAGGAGGGATGTCCCCTCCGAGCTGGAAGGTTGCGGAGCGCCACCCGTTAACTGGTCGTGGTCCCTCCCCTGCTCCCCGTCTGGGAGCAGCCTGGTATCACGCCCCGTCTCGGACCCGCTGACCGTGCGGGCCCCCTAGAAGTGTAACATCCGAGCGCAAATGGGGTTTAATACGTATAGCCAGCTGGTGAGGCACACCCATGAGTGAGGTGACTCAGGGAGTCTGACGAGCAATGGTATGTCACTACGTATAGTAATGACTAACGTAGATTTAAAAATAAGAGGGTTAGTTAAGTAAAATATAGTGGTGGTTTGTTGACAATGTTGTGTTTAGCGCGGGGCATGAGAAAAAGTCGTCACGTGTAGGGGGCCGCGAGCGGCATTTGTACTAAGGTTATGGGTCAGGACGCGTTGTGCCCAGCCAGTGTAGTTCCGCGTGTGCGGCCGGCTGGAAGTCCCCTTAGTCCCCGGGGGAAAGGTCCGCACCTCCTGTGAGGTGCGCAGGAGAGGCGTAGCTACAGATGGGAAGCCTTGGCGAGCTGCTGAGGTACTGGGAGGTTGCCCACCGCGTATGCGACATGGTGCATCGCGCCGTCGAACCGGACCCGCTCGTTCCCATGACGGTGTGGAGCCGGGGAACGAGGAGGGGACGGCAACCACTGACACCTCCCGACCCATCAACGTAGCTGGGACTTGTGGCCCCTAAAGGGGGGAACTTCAAGGCTTTACCTTGGAGGCACCGCCCCCCACCTTTTGCAACATACTTGGGACGCTGAGTACAGCCCTAACCCGGGATGCGAACTGGCGGGGAAGGGATTGGGCTTTTAGTCCGGCAGGACTGTGGCAACCTGCCCCTAGGAGCCCATTGGCGCCAAATTTCCTTCCCTGGGACCAGGATGCTCGGGGAACCTGGAGTTGGACTCCACGAGGTCACTTAAGCACACTCGCCGCGGGTTCTTGCCGATGACGTCCAGCGTGTGTACGAGGACTAGGCAGATCCCAACTCCTGTGGCCGTTGTGGCGTGTGGGGAGCATGCGGGCGAGGGCCGTCGCCACTTCTGAATGAATTGCAATGTAAGGCGACGTATGTGTTGCTTTGTTTGTTTGTGTTGCTGTTGTATTTGTAAAGCCTATGGATAGGCTGCCCCAGAAGAGTGGCTAAGAGGATCTCGTGAGGTTCAACAAAGGGCTACTTGGATCACTGTAACAGCGCCCTCAAAAGGCGAAGCCACTAGTCCGACCTGACCCTTGGGTGCACAGTGAGCTAGGGTCTTTCCACATCTAAGTAGTAGTTTAGTTCTTTCTTTCTTGTAGTTGTAGTGCTCCTATAATTGGTCCTAGAAGTAGTTTTTCTTCCTTTTTTCCTTTTCCCCTCTTACTCCGTTCACTCTATAATACGTACGTCTACTCTACTCCGTTTTCATCGTATCCCTCTATTTCGTTCAGTGCAGACCCTATGGTTCTCTCCTACTATTCCGTTCCCTTCGTTTCCTCGTTTTTCTTATCGTTTTCCGTTGTCCCTCGTCTATGGTTCGTTTTTCCCGATCGATACGCTTACCCGCGTCCCGTTCCCACGCCAAGCGGATCGATAGCGTCGCCCCAGGCACCTTTCTCAGGCGCGCTCATGGGAAAGCGAAGAAATAGTACGAGGTAAGACACTACCGTAATCCTTACTCCATGGGAACGTTGCTGCTGAACGCCCACGACAAGGTCATTTGAACCCGTCGACATCCCGTCAGCAGTTCAACGCCGAAATGGATCAGCTAAGGAAAGAAGAACTTTCTCATGCAGCCCGTAATCTTCAGAGAGCTGCGGCTAACATCTCACCTTCTCTTTTCGAAGACGTACAGCTCGCTGAAGATCACGTCACTGCGAATGCGCAGATCAAGGACCATGAAAAGGCCCTCGGTCTTGCACATCACGTATTATCTCGTGCCTGCGACTATGCCACTCAAGTTAGAGATTTGGCAATGCAGCATGCACTTGAAGGAGAGTCGGAAGAGGTGCGCCGTGCACTGGTCAGCGACTATATGTCCCACTGGATTGCCAGTGGGGGAGAAGCTGCCCAGGATACAGCGAACGATCTTCTTGCTCGCCTTGAGTTTGCACTGCAAGCTATGTCGCGAGGCAACGTTACTGTCGTCGCCACTCCAGTTCGTCCTCAGACGTTACCGGGAGTTAGGCCTACTACGTTGACCCGTGGTCAGTTGTCCCATCGCTCCGAGGAAGAACTCTTCCGGGAACAGGACAACCAGCCACAGGGCCCTAATACGTCGGAGGGAGTTACCTACCCAACTTCGGATCCACCGCGACCCGAAACAGGAGGAGTAACCCTTCCTAATTCGTTGCTCGATCGTGCCATGCACGATCAAGCTATTCGTTTACCGTCGTTCGATCTCCCCATATTCAATGGAGATGTTGCTAAGTTCGCAGAGTTCTGGGATCTATTCGATTCTGCGGTTCATTCGAACCGTATAATTCCATCTACAGTCAAGTTCCATTATCTCAGATCTTTGCTTAAGGACGAAGCACTCTCTATGATATCCGGGTATGAGATCACAGAAGCCAACTACGAGCTGGCAGTTACTACGTTACGGGAGACGTATCTACGCCCCGAATTAATTCGTCTCCAGCTGAGTAGCCGGCTTCAAAATCTCAAACCGGCTAGTCTCTCAGCTATAAACCAACGTATTACGTTAGCGCAGGTCAAGTCACTCTGGCTTCAACTTAGTAAGCTCGGTGACCATGACGATAACATTTATGTTACGCGCATAATTCGTGAGAAGTTTCCTCCGAAGACGTTGGAATGCGTGGGCCATCTACAGGCCAAGGATCCGGCAAAGTGGGGAGTCACACAACTTCTCGAGGCACTTGACCAAGTGATCAAGACCTTTGAGATAGTTGAAGATTCCACACCAGCCAGATTCCAGCCGTCTGACGCGATGGCAATACGATCATTTTCGCGTTCCTCGTCTAGAGGATCTTCCTATAGTCCGTCTAACCGTGAACGATCTAGGAGGCAGAGCGCTTCACCAAGGCGCGAACGCCAGAGATCGTCGTACTCCGTAGCACGTTGTGACTTTTGTCGATCAACGCACCATCGCACAACTCAATGCAATCGAGTAACATCTACAAGAGTGCGTTGGAACATAGCGACACAAGCACAGTTGTGCTTTAAGTGCCTTTCGCGTGATCACAGAGCGGAATGTTGTGATAAACCACCTTGTTCAGCATGTCAAGGTGAACATCACATCATGCTCTGTCGACAGGCAGTGAAGCACTCATATCGTTCGAGGAGCAGCAGATCCACTAGTCGATCTTCTAGATCATCTAGTCGAGGTAGGGAACTGTACCGTCAATCCCGTTCACATCGTGAACGAGCAAGATCACCTAGACGATACAAGTCACCACCACCAACCTACCGAAACGGATCTCCGCATCCGCGTGCGCTGCGTACTCGCATTCGTGATTCTAACCAGAATTTTGAATCATACTACGTTGGAGATCTCGTAGAGACAGAGGATGAGGATTCCCCATCCGATCCCTCGGTCCAATCGTTGCTTACGCAGAAATCGCCCGACGAACCTCGTCTCATGGTGATTACTGCTCCGACGCATAACTATACTACGTCTTCAGATGAGCTGGTTCTGTTGCTGCTAGATAGCGGTGCACAACATAGTTTTATCAGAGAAGCTACTGCGTCGAGGCTTGGACTTCGATTCGAAGATCCACAGTCCTTTACTACGAGGAGCTTCGGAGGTCATACGACCACCGAAGTCTCATATTCCGTTACGCTTGTTGTTCTGCGCGACCAGAGTGGCGCACCAATGCGCCTTACTCTTAGAACTCGCAGAGTTACTACGTCCATTCGAGCAGACACCCACATTTCTAGGGACACTGCCGAATTACTGCGTCTGTCGCGTGCACATAATCATTCTATGTCCGATAGGGACGTCGATGTGGACATTCTCATTGGCATAGAATATTATTGGGAGATTGTCGATCCGACAATAGCACGTCGACTATCGTCAGGACTTACGCTTATCCATACGCGATTCGGACCAGTAGCATCAGGGTCGAAGTATTCACCCTCCACACGCGTATCTTCTATTCAATCAACATTTTCATCTAGCTTAAGTTTACAAACGTGTGTGAAGGATGAAGAAATCGAGCCTGACATATCACGGCTCTGGGATCTCGAATTCATGGGAATCACAGATAGCATGAGTCCTCGTCAGGACGAGCAGGTTAATGCCGAAGTCGTCCAGCGTTTCTACGATACTGTCCAAGTTATCGACGGTATCATACACGTACAGTTTCCATGGAAAAAGAATCATCCGCGGTTAGCGGATAACAAGTTTCTCGCACTAAGGCGTTTGGAATATCAATACGATACGCTTCGTGATCGAGAAGATGTATGGAAACAATATTGCGTTACCTTTCAGAACCAGGAAAGATCTGGCATCATCGAAGAGGTAGCTGAGTTCGAGTTTGATGGACCCCAGGTATATTATATGCCTCATCAAGCGGTCCTGAAAGCTGAGAGCACAACTACCGCAGTGAGGATTGTCTTCGATGCTTCCAGTCATTGTAAGAACTCACCGAGTCTTAATGACTGTTTGCATCAAGGACCCACACTGCTACCAGATCTTGCTGGTGCATTACTACGTTCTCGTTTATCACAGTTCCTTGTTATTGCTGATGTGGAAAAAGCTTTCCACCAGATTCGTCTCCAGAAAGATCAGCGAGACGCAACGAGATTCTTGTGGTTACGAGATACTACGTGTCCACCTACCTTGGACAATATTCGTATCTTCCGTTTCACCCGCGTAGTATTCGGTATAAATGTTTCGCCATTTTTACTGAATATGTCCATCAAATACGCGCTCGAGCGGGATGATCTTAATACGTTAAGGGATGAGGTGCTTGCAAATACCTATGTGGATAATGTGCTCATCGGTGCTGACAGCACCGAGGAATGCATTGAGAAGCAGAGGCAATGCAAACAAACCTTCCATCGTATGGGCATGAACCTTCGGGAATTCATGTCCAATAATACGTGTGTAATGGAACACATTCCAGAACACGATCGTATGAAAGCAGCCTCGAGTGAAGTCAAGCTGCTTGGATTGAAGTGGAATCCAACTCAGGATACCATCCATATCCGAGTACAGCTCGCTCTTCATCGAGTTAATACGAAGCGCACTGCTCTTCGAGCAGTAGCGTCCAATTTTGACCCATTAGGGTACCTTACTCCGTTGTTCGTCGATGCCAAGATCTTTATTCAAGATCTTTGGAAAGACAAATATTCGTGGGATACACCATTCAGTGGAAAGTATTATGCCAGATGGCAGGAGATCGTAGAACGGATAGATGGGTACACTTGTTCTGTGCCCAGGTTCATCTTACATAAAGATGAACACTCCCAATACGAGCTCCTGTTATTTGCAGATGCTTCTCACGAATGTATTCCGTCGTGGCTTACTTATTGAGTAGAGCCCCTAATACGGTTGCACAATCTCATCTCCTTATGGCGAAGACGAGGTTAGCGCCCGTCAAAGAGACTACGATTCCTCGTCTCGAATTGATGGCTTGCGATATAGCTGTATCGCTAGCTCAATTCCTCCTTAAGGAGCTAAAGATTGTCGTCATGCGGTTCGATTCTTTTCGGATTCGCATATTGCGTTATACTTGACCCATACGGATCGCACTATGAAGGCGTTTGTCGCAAATCGCGTAAACCGCATTCGTAGTGCTCTTAAACAACTTGCCTCGAGCAA